AAAAGGTTTTTTAGGTTTTGAAAATCGATCCAGTGGCGGCGAGTTACACAGGCAGAAAAACGAAAATACCCGAACTTTGTTTCTTGACGATTCAAAAGCTTCTGAAAAATAGTGGTTGGGTGTTGTAGTGGGTAAGGCGCGAATATATTAATATAAGCCTCGATAACCTGTAATTCATCGCACCTATTAGACATTTATTAAGTAACATAAATAAAAACATCCAGCAATAATGAATTTCTTACAACAATTTTTGGACCTGTTTGGTACACAATGCTACAACTTGACTGAGACCTGTTTTAAAATATTCAGACAAGGGCCTACTCGCATTCCGTATGGTATCCAAGAAACTTGTTGTGAGGAAATGCTGAACCTATTAAACTTAACTCACTTCTCCGATTGATGCGTACGAGAGGACTTGATAATCACATACAGTGACATTAGACGTGTTACACCCAGAAAAAATAATTTCCTTAACTTTTTTTTTGTTTACCTTTGTTAAAATGTTATCTCTTAGTTTTTATGAAGAAATCAGTTTCTGAGAGCTGAGTAGTACAGATATTTTTAGTTATTGCCCTTTCATTTACTAGTGTTAAGCATAACAAAATATGTACAAAGATGAGCCATCCAACTTGCACATACCTCTTGCATCTTCTGGCCTCCAAAAATACCGAATTGCAACGTTGTATTAGCACCGAAGACGGTCTCAAGAGCATGATTGATACTGGAAGGTAATGTCAGAGCAATAAATTATAGATAAAAGGTACTGCATTCTATAGAGGCGCGTGGCTTGGTTGTCTCCAGTGGCGGTGAGCTGTTGATCAGGTGTAGGCTTAATTAAATTCTCAATATGGTGTGATTTTCAAAGCAGATTACATCTTTATTTGTAATATATCTCCAGGCTTGTGAAAAGCAAAATATTTCTTTCAAATTTCAATATTCAGGGAGAAGCAGGTTGTTTGATTAATTCTGATATGGTAGGTTGGATGTTTGGTATTGAATAGACAAGTAAGTGCTAGGCTACCAAACATAGTTACGTTCGAAACTGAACATTCTCATCTAAAATATAAATATGAAAAACGTTTAGTTTACGAAATTAGCGCTAGCTATTTATCCTTCTTGCAACTAATTTCATTAGCTCTGAAAAGTATTTCACCAGTATTTAGTTTAACCACTTTCTGTGTCTATACAAAACTGCATTCTGGTCTATATGCTTCTTACTTTGTAGATAAACTGGTTTCCTGTAGATTGAGATATTGCTCAACCAGTGGTGTTATCCAGGAAAAGATTTGGGGAGAGGCTCATGATCCAGGGTGACACGAAAATTCCGTCTCGGGGCGGAGGGGTGTCTTGAGATATAAAACTGCATAGCAGAGGGGGGGTCCAGGTAGCTACACTTTACAGAAGGTATAGCATGCTGTAATATGTAGAAGAAGCGTAATGAGCTGTTGCGCTTCGGGAGGGTAGACTCCGAGGAGCCCCAAAGCCCTCCCATGAATACGCCGGTGTGTCCATACCAGAATAGGAACAGAGGCGTGGGGTCTGTGGGCCTAGCTCAAAGAGTTCCGCCCTACTTTCTAATATCATTGGGTTTGCATCCATCCAGCGACGGCGACGAAGTAAATAAGAAATGAATAAGTCCTTCTTGATTCAATTTACAACTTAATCAAAGAAATTATCCTGTTTTTAGTCATAAAATGTTACCAGACATTTGAGAAAAAAAAAATATTTTAAATTTCAGGCATTAAGAGTAATCCATGTAATTTTTTCTTATGAATGTGGAAGTGGAACAACCAGCGGGTACGCTTGTGCAGTCGGCGGCGCGGCACCTCAAAGACAAAAGCTGTATTTTGTGTTTTTGGCTCACAAAGAGATTGACAGTAGCTGGAAAAAAAAGTCGTATTTTTCTATTTGACTCTTACGTTTAGTGGATTTAGCATTTAGAAGGCTGGCTATTATTACCTCCAATCGCAGCCTAAGAAAAAAATTCGGCCTGATTTTTTGTTCATTTTCCTGTTGTGCTTTTTGTCACTGCAAGCAAACTGTAGCTAAACTGTTTTCACAAAGCTTTTGGAAAAACTTAGTCAGACTTCGCTTTGAAATGATATTCAACTTGGGGGAATAGGACGGAGGTTTTTTTCAGTGTACTCGTATAGTACAGAAACATTTTCACTGTATACAGGAAATCTATTTTGAATAACAATATGTTATTTTTTCAGACTGCTACGTGGCCCGTATTAGATTTTTATAAGAATGTGTTTGTTTATTTGTTACTTTTGTTTATGGATTTATACAGAAACTGTTTTTTTTTGAGAATTCTAAATTGATTTATTACTTGTTTGTATTTTAAAGGATATTATTTTTGTTTTAATTGCATGGAATTGACTGTTTGTTTTTATTATTTTATACTATACACTATTCACCGGCGGGCCTTCGGCGATCTAGTTCTGTTCTGCCGCTACACCAACGGGCTTTGCTCCTCGGAGCTCTCTTCCATGACGACGCCGCCGCGCGATGTGCCTGCCAGATAGACCCGCCTAACTTTGACGTCCCATCCAATCGTATTAACAAAATTTCTTTGGGATCATGATAGCAGCCGCGGTGTTTCGGCATTTAGGCTTCTGAGCTTTTCCCAGTTCTACTAACCTTAGGCAGTTCAAAAATCGTATTAACAAAATTTCTTTGGGATCATCATTGCAGCCGCGGTGTTCCGGCATTTAGACTTCTGCCTGCGCGGATGTTTCGATATATAAAAAAAAATAGGAATAAGCTGCCCTACGATGTTGTTAATGCATCTACAGTTAACAGGTTAAAGAATTGTTTCGAAAGCTGAGTGCTTAATGAACTTTAAATAGTTTGCTTAAGACATGGTCTTTATCATTTTTTCTGTTCAATTTCTTATCTCGGTTCGGAGGTTATAGCTTTTGCTCAACTCCTCTATTATGTATAATATATAGTTATAATAATGCAATTTTTTGTAGACCTGTCTCTTACGGTTAGGTAAGTAGTTTATCAAAACTTCAGAAAAATCCAACGGTTGAAAAATGTAAAAACTTAACAATTTGTTTGGCCTCCTCCATGTTTTATGCTCTCATAAACACGTTTGGGCATACTAATCAGGTGATCTATTTCCTCTTCCCAGCCTAATTGTACCTTGTTGCCAAAACGCCGCTGGAGACTATTGAGGACGGAGAAACCGGAGTAATATTCTTCCCATAATAGGCAAAAAATCGCTTGATTATCTTTAAAATGGACCAACGTAATTCTGGCAATACCGGCGCATTATCTTGTGGGTTGGTGAGCGTCCGTACATAAGGCAAAACATATCTCTCAAAACTGTCATCTCCCAGATAGAAAGCGCGGTGGTCATATTACATCTGCTGAGTACCAATATGACCTGTTTCTATAAGCAATAGCTCCCGATACTATAATTCACACAGTGGGGCCCACATGAGTGTTTCCACAGAAAATTGAGTATCTCGTCTTCGTCCTCGTCGCCTTCTCACCCTGGCACGGCCATGAAGCATCCCAAAACAGAATCTGGATTCATCACTCAAGACAATAGAATTCCATTTGAGGTCCCAGTTCAGCCGTTCTCTGTCCCAAGGCAGTTGATCACTTCAGTGACCAGGAGTGAGAGGTGGTACCCTCTGAAGACGGCATGAACTAAGTCCAAAGCTGCTGATCCGGTGATAAACAAGTGTCGTTGTAATATACTTTCCATGCTCTCTAAACCATTGGTCCGAAATTTCACTTGTGGACGAGAAGCTGTCCCGTAGAGCTAAAAGCCTAATGCGGTGCTCGAAGGAAGGTACGAAGTCCCAGATGCAAATCAGACCCAAAGGCAGAACTCGAAGTTAGAACCCGAAGGTAGAACCCTCGAACAATGAGGGTTCACAGAAATGGGGGACTGCTCCTCACTGACGTGAGTGCTATTTAAAGATCGCCTCGGAGAATCAATGCAGACAGTTCCCCTCAGCTCGATGGTTTAGTGTAGCTGTGACAACTGCTAAATCCCCAAGAGGGTGAAAAAAGTCCCGACAACAAAATTCACCAAAGGAGGCCGATTTCTGTCAAAGTTTTCACAACCCGGGGTGTGAAATTATTCCACTAAATCGGGTTGTGGGCGTACAATTTTCTACCACAGAATTATTAGACCAAGAGTAGTGTTTTGTTATAAAAATAAAATTCTATATTTTTAAGAACTGTTATAAAATTATTGTAATAATTTACTTGATCAAGAAATAGTTAATTTTTAGTCGACCATAAAAAGAAACTGTAACACACTTTACTGGTAGTGTGGTCGCAATACATTTGGAACTTGTAAAAACCTGAGAGTCGCAGTCTCAGAGCTTCGCTACCTTGCACTGACTTGTACAATTCGTCACTCTATAAATACGAAAGTGGGACAAATAGGTTTATTCGTTTCCTGAATCTTGAAAAGGAAAGTGCTAAGATAATATTTTAAAAAATATAAACAGATAGTATATCACACAAATTATAGTGAGTCAGTGTTATTTTGTTTGAGAGTGCTGGAGAAAAGTAAGTACATTATTTTATATTAAATTTTAGTTTTATACTCGTAGTTAGCAAAGATAGATAAATTACGCCAATCATGACTTTAGTTATTAGTAGTTAAATATTTAATCATGCAAAATTACACGAGTCCTCCTTAATAGTTTCTTTTTGAAAGTTTTAGCAATCGGTAATATAATTACAGTGCAATCTCCGTAATTCGAGCTAATTGTTGCAAGAAGATGTTCGAATTATGGAATGTTTTCGGAAAAATCAAAAAATATTTTTAATATAGATACAGCTGCTGGATTTTCTGTCTTATTTAAAAAATTTAATTTTGCCCACAGATGACTGATGCCATGACCGAATCTAAAAATAAATGTAGACAGTACAGTGTTGATTATTTGAAATTTGGCTTCATTCCATCATTGCCGGACAAACAATCGCCTTTGTGCTTTTTATGCAACAAAGTTTTTTGCAATGACGCTATGATACCATCTAAACTGCAAGATCATCTGAGAAGATGCCACCCTGATAAAACAGAGAAAGATTTGAAATACTTTCAAACACTCAAAGATAAATTTCAGAAGAGACCTACACAGGACAGAATGTTCGCTTCGACGTCACAAAGAAATGATGATGGTTTGCGGGCGTCTTACAATATCTCATTGCTTATAGCAAAATCCGGAAAACCGCATACTATCGGAGAGAAGTTAATTTTGCCAGCCGTTGAAGAGGTTTTAAAAACTGTTTTACACAAACCTGTAGCTGATATCATTAAAAGAATTCTCTTAAGCAACAATACTGTTGAAAGACGTATTGATGAAATGAGTTCTGATATTGAAAGCTCCTTATGTAATTATTTGCAAACGACCCATTTCTCTATACAACTGGACGAGTCAACTTTACCTGATAATGCAGCATTATTATTTGCATATGTTCGTTTTATTATGAATCAAGAAATCTACGAAGAACTGCTCTTCGCAAGAACTTTGATAACCGACAGTAAAGGTGAATCAATATTTCATGTTTTGAAGGATTACTTCATTGAAAAGGCAATCTCTTTATCAAATATAATATCAGTAGCTACAGATGGAGCACCTGCCATGGTTGGACGTTATCGTGGATTTATAAGCTATTTAAAACAAAATGTGTCAGGGGTGTTAGCAATACATTGCGTTATCCATCGACAACATTTAGTTGCTAAAAATTTGAGTGCTAGATTGCATGAATCACTTCAGTCATTGATGCAGTAAACCGAATCCGAAGCAACGCGTTGAATACGCGGTTATTTGCGTAGTTGTTTGAAGAAAATGACGAACACTTTCATCAATTACGCCTTCACACTGAAGTACGCTGGCTGTCGAAAGGCTTATGTTTGACAAGATTTTTTGCACTTTTTGAGACTATTTTAGAATTTCTGGATACTAAAGATAAAATTTTAAAAGAAAATTTAATGAAGAGGAAAACAGACATCGCCTATTTAACAGATTTGTTTACAAAATTTAATATGGTTAATTTGCAATTACAAGGCGACAGTTTAAATTTGATTAAAACAAAGTCCATCTTATCAGCGTTTCTTGCCAGAGTTAAACTAATGAAGCAAAATATTGGACGGGGCGATTTTTCTCAGTTCCCCAATTTGTCACAGACAAGCTGCCAGGAAGACGACGTTTCAACTTACGTTCAACATTTAAATGCCCTCTATTCAGATTTTGAATCTAGGTTTGAGGATATTTTGACTATGGTAATACCAGCGTGGATAATTAATCCATATGGTGATATAGAAGAAACGAATGTCATAATACAAGAGGAACTGACTGAACTAAGTACAAACAAAGAACTTAAGGTTCAGTTTAAAAACGGATATCAGCAATTCTGGCTGCAAAACAACATACCCGTTACTTATCCCGTATTATGGAATATAGCGAGGAAATTTTTAATTTCCTTTCCATCGTCATACCTAGTGGAAAGGGGGTTCAGCGCTGTTACCAATCTCCTAACGAAAAAAAGAAACAGACTGGACATCATTAGCCGAGGAGATTTAAGATTAACCCTTACAAAATTGACGCCAAATGTTGATAATTTATTATTAAAGCATCAGGTTCATCCTTTTGACTAAAAATATTGACTTATTGCTTATGTTATTTTATTTATAGTTTATTTTATGTTCATTGGTGTCTGACCAATAAATGCCCGCATTGAGAATAAGTGCCCGCATTGATTTTTTTAAGGAACCCCCCTTTATAGAAAATATATATTTTTTTAAAAATTATTCTGAAAATTCAAGGATAGGTACACACTAAAATTCGTTAATTTTTTGCCTATTTTTAGATAACTTAAACGTATAAGAAGCGGAATTTAATCAAACTAACAGTGAAATTATTGTAGAACATACGTTTATGTTATAATTAATAAACGAACTCGCTTATTGTACTATTTTAAGTAAAACACTTTTTTTTATTATTTTTCACTTTTTTTTTATTTTATCCCTCTTATTTTTTGTTTCAATGCGGGCACTTGTTCCCAATGCGGGCACTTATTGGTCAGATACCTGTTTATTTAATGTTACGTATATTTTACATAACAGATACAAAATTTTATTTTGAGTAGTTTTAATTTAAATTCAATTAATAAATGTATAAATTAACATGTGTTTTTACTTTAAGTTTTTAACACTAAACTTCACTACAGTTAGAAATTTACAGGAAATCACTATCAGGCAAGTAGGGGGTCTACCCAACACGGAAAAACATGGCAAAGGGTCTACGACACAAAAAAGTTTGGGGAACTCGGCCTTAACCTAAACAAACAAATACATACCTAGAAAATCTTTGTTAGAATTTTAATGTTACTGGGTGCCGCAATATTGTCAAATGGATGGGGACTATGGACTAATTGCATTCGCCTGTCAGACTGAGACTTGCCCCTCTTGTTTTTTTGTTATACATGTTCGCGGGTAACTTTTTTCTCAGAGATCCTTATTTGGGCCAAACAATCCTACTCGACGCTGTTTTTATACTGCCAGCTTCTCCCAAAATTGTCAGGAGAGCTAGAGGAGCAAAAGTTTGGCGGGTAGGCCTGGCAGGTCGAGAGAAGAGCTCAGAAAAGCAAAGTCTTTTAATATATTGCTAGAGGAGAGCGAGATCACCAACCGCGTGTTGATGTGAACTTGGTACTGTTAGTTCGGTCTCTGAATGTTTATACAATTTTGCACGGCATGCCACTGCTTGTAGCCTTGAGAATACCTTGTATTCCCGTTGATTGACGCCGACATAGAACGGTAACTGTCATTCAGTGTTGCCTAGACGCGTAGATGCTTCCTGCATCTTCAGCGAATGGGCCAAAGATGTATCAAACTTTGGCGAACTTTTTCTAGGTGGCAATTGTCAGGGTTTTCACCTCTTTCGTAATGTCTGTTGAGGGAGTATCGCCGATGGTGGGTTCGGAACCGCAACAAGTATGGCGGTGTTCATTACTGCCAAGCTGTTAAAACCCAATAGCCTATGTTTTTTCCATCAGCCGATGTATTTGTATCAAAATATGTCTGAACCTCGACAAACCAAAAACTCGGTAATATGTGTGTCGAGATAGTGATAAGCCGAAAGTCTTACGTCAAAGAGCAAATGTTGATTTCAAGCATTATGTTGGTTCAAAAACTGCTAAAACTGTATTTGAAAATATTACCGTTGTTAGCCACTTGATTGTTGTGTAGCGAAGAACTCTTGAAACTTGGTCCAGCAGCTTGAAGCATTCCCAAAAAACTGAGACAGAGCGAAAGTACCTGTACGATCATTTTGAGATAAAATACGAAATTATAACGTCAAGAATAAGCAGAGTATCCTTTCTGAAGATAAAGTTTTTTAGAGCTGAGCAAATCTAATCGATATCTACATGTATAGAGTATTAGAAACTGTAGGCTGTAGACATAATGATTTTAAATTCATGAAGCACTGACAACAAGAGGGTATTGTCAATTCTTACTGAGCTTGATTTAAGTATTATTTTTTTGGTACGAATAAAGTTTAAAAAAAAGATAACAGTCTCTAAACTTTACAAAAATAATAAACATAGATGATATCTGATAACTGGATAAATGTGTGAATACGGTTTATCAAAATCCTTAACACTAAATTCACTTTTATCACTTTCACCGTTAGTACACAGTGATGTAGCGCACTTAAGCAAACCGCAAGAGCCCGCGTCGTACTAATGCGGTACCACCTAATGGGTTGCGTGTTTGCAGACTCCGGTCCATGGATGGTACTAGTGCAAGTGTTTATTGATTGGCGCACCGTTTGTAGTACAGTCAGTATCTCCTTTTATTCTGGTTCCACTTACGATTTTTTTCACGGTACCACCTAACGAAGGGTGCTTGCATAATTTTTTCCAGCGATGGAACTACGTTAGTGAATGACAACTGGCGCACCTCTTGCAGTGCAGTCTTTTTCCTAGTGGTACTGCTTAGTGAGATTGCAGACTCCGGTCCATCAATGGTAACCCTACTAGTAGCTAGAATGACGCGCTGCTTGTAGTACAGTCATTTTCTTATGGTTCTACTGTTTTCTGTGGTACCACATATCAGTTTTTGTTAGTACCTCCTAACGAGTTGCTTGTTTGTAGATTCGGTCTATCGATTGGTTGATAAATGGCGTACCGCTTGTAGTACAGTCAGTTCTTCCTTGTTGTCACCATTTGCGGTTTTTATTATACTACTGTATTGTGTGTTTATAGACGTTGGATCCTCAACAGTACTGCTTCTAATGGATGAGGTGTGGCACACCGCTCGCAGTACGGTCATTTCTTCAGAGTACTAAATTTTACTGTGGTAGTACTACTACTGCATAGTCAGATGCCTGTTTGCAGACTGTTGTCCACCGATCGTGCTAGTGCCGGTAAATAGAATAGCGTTTTTCCTGCAGTATATTCTTTTCCACGATACTAGCTTTTTCTCGGGTACCGCACAGCAGTTTTTGATAGTAATACCTGACTAGTTGTGTGCTCATAGGGTTTGTCTATCTATTGTACTACTACAGGTGGCTGATGATGATTGACCTACCGTCCGTAGTACATACATAATGGTAATATTTCAAAGGCCGGCTGTCGCAGCTGGTTCGACTTTGTTTTAGATTTTAGACGAAAGAGAAGGTACCATCAAGATGAAGAAACATATTTATTTAAGGGAAAACTGCCGTAACCCATTCAACCTTGTCTTAGGAGGCGGTTCTTCCTGGAAAGTACCATCAACATGAAGGAACAATGATTTCTGGAGGAGTACTATTCTAAAAGACGACAGCTCGTTTGGCCTTGTCTTAGACGAAAACGTAAGTACTACCTTATAAGAAATATTAAGATAGACAAAATAGTAACTTTTGGTGGAGTTCTGAAAAGTCCTTCTCTACGGTACTAGTCTAAAGACCAACTGTCGTAGGTCATTCGTCCGTGTCATATGAAAGGGTACTTCCTGGTAAGAACCATGAAGATGGAGCTACAATGATTTCTGGAGTAGTGCTATTCTAAAAGATGGTTGTCGCAGCTTGCTTAGCTTTGTCGTAGATGAAAGCGAAGGTACTAAATAAAAAGTAAAAACAGGATGAATAAAATAGTAATTTTTGGTGGAATTCTCAGAAGCCCTTCTCCAGAATGACGGTACTATTCCAGGGGCCTACTGCCGCAGCCGAGTCGACCTTGTCGTCAACGGAAGAGGAGGTACTACTTGGCAAGCATCTTTATAATGAAGAAACATATTTCTTTACAATGTCGGTTTTATTTCAAAGGCTGGCTAACACAGCTCATTCAACATTCCTGTAGACGAAAGCGAAAGTACTACCTCGTAAGTACCATCAAGATAGAGAAAAATATCACAGCTCATTTGACCTTGAAAGAAAAGCTACTTCTTGGTAAGTTCCATCAAGCTGGAGGAAGATTAATTTCTGGAGGAGTTCTTCAAAAACTCTCCTCAACTACAATTGCATTATTACAAAGACTTTCTCTGGAACATACCATCGAAAGTACTACCTTGTACATCAAGATGGAAAAATAACTAAGGAGTTCTGCAAAGCGCTTCTCCAGAGTGACGGTACTATTTCAAAGGCCGGCTGTCGTAGCTCGTTCGACCTTGTCATAGACGAAAGAGAAAGTACTACCGAGTAAGTACCGCGGTCATCAAGATGCCATCGAGAAGATATCATCACACATGTAGATGCGGGATTCCGAAAAAAATGAGGCTAAGTATGTGTGCGTTGTTGCGTAGGCAGATAGTATCCGGTATTTGAACATTGTATGTTATTACGGATTTTGCAATCTTGTAAATGATGATGAAAATTAGCTTGATTGTGTTTGTGCTCAAAGCGGAACATGAGTATAGCAGTCCATGGTTGCCCGTCCAAATGAAACCACATATCTATGAATTACCTTTTACTGACGTTTCGGCCACCACGGTTGCCTTTCTTAAAGTACACATTAGTTACAACAATAATATATTTTGTTTATCTGTCTTCCATTTGTTTTTACCACGCCGAGATTGCGCGAAGCAGTCATCGCAACTGATCGCTTGGTAGGCATTGCCGCTCCCAAAAAACTTTTAAGAATGCGAAAGCGACAAGCCAGCATGATGTTAACCGTTGATTTTGGATGTACCGGACCATTCAGACATGCGACATTTTCTCACTGTCCCGAAAACCCCAAACACCTTCCGAATGGTCGATTCTGGTGGTAGATGGCTCTTCGCGTTGTCTTATTTCGATAGATCACAGACTTAGTGTATGGATGCTATGTTTCCGATCGCTGCCCAAGAGGCTCAAGCCTACACCATGTTAAGGAGTAGCCAAAAAGCACGAAGCAGCTGTCTATGGTTGGTTGTCCCCTGGTCGAGCGGACGAAAGCAGAACATCATTATTTTTGCAATTACTCGTATAAGCAATGAAACATATGATTAATGTGATTATTTTGCTTAAGTTACATCCACTATCACATTTCCTGCTAAACAAGGTACATCCATTACAGTTTTCGGGCTTCTACCATAATTATTATTGATAGAAATAATTAAAAGAATCAAATACTACATTAATCTCAAAAAAGTACCTCAAAACTGGTTTATTTTTCAGTGACAGTTTCTATTGTCTCCTGAAAAATTAAAATTTTTGCACTGGCCAAATCAATTGTATACGCATATGCAATGGTGTATTTTACATGATTAAAACTAATGCTACATCTGAATTCTTCATAGAGCCGAAATGCGAGAAATAGTACTTTAATACCTCAAGGGCACCATGTTGTTTGTTTTGTAAGGAAATATTATCAGACACAGCAGCTTGGCCCTGAGATTGCTAAGCAAAACGTCTGTGGATTTGAGATCTAATAACAGAAAACAAAAATAAATCTAAGAATATACGAGTACTTGAAAAAAGTTAGAATTTTTGGTTCTGCTACTGTCTCATAGATTGTGCTGGGATTTTAAATTCTTCTTTAATTGGGAATTTTCAGGCATTGATTGACGTATTCCAGCAGAAAATTCCCAATTAAAACAGGTATTTTACTAGCTAGCACCTAAAGATTATGCATTTATTCCTGTACATGTACAACAGAGAAATAAATGGATCAAGTCAGGTTCCATACAGGCTAATACAAGTAGTTAACAGACAGTTTTCCCTAGGCTACCGGTAGTTACCGTCCATCTGGCAACATTGTCGCTTCCCATATCAGTCGGAGCGTTTGCCGAAGCACTGACGCAGTACGAGCAGAACAATCAAGCAGATCGTTACGTCGAGTGCTGAGCCCAGATAGCAGAAGATGACGCGTATCGAAACCATTTCTCTTTCAAGTTTGCAAATGTACGGGGATACCTATTATGTGGGAAATATGGCTTTGTTCGTATAAATATAATAACATCAAAAAATTGATATATACCCTCCCCCACCTCCCTACAACCCCCACCCCCAGTTCTTTTCAGAAATGATTAGGATTTTCCGAAAAAAAAAGGATGTTTAAGCAATTTTATATTTTTTTTGCCTTTTCTCCGCCGTCACTGTACCGATCTTTAAAAACTACAGGGACTTTCTCCCCTTGGCGTAGTATTAACCTTGTGTAAGGTATACGAGACAGAAAGGCAGCCGGCAGTTCGACAGACCGACATACGGATAGGCAGGCAGACCTACAAGTACATCTACAGAAAACGCAATTTCTCATTTTCGGAATTTTTCGCGATTGCATTACCTCCTCGCCCAATGGCGTAGTGAGTAAAAGAAACTGAATCAATAAATTTTGTCAGTGCCTCCGTATTTTGCACAGCTCATTGATTTCAAAAAATGTTTTAGCGTGTTATTTCAATCAGTTCCCTCACAATGTATTATGAATTCATTTTCTTGTTTCTATTTTATTATGTACATTTAATTCACATGTTTCTTAGTAAATATTTTATCTGTTTTATCATCGCGATCGTAAGTTTATTGTTATTAAACATTTTGATTATGCATAGCTACTATTTACATTTCAATAGTGTATAAGTTTAATTTCAATGCCGCCCACAAGCCTTTGGCTTTAGTGAATAGTGCATGCTTATTTGTACCTTGGTTTAGAAATGAATGTTACTACTTTATAACTTCATTTATAAATAAACATTTTGGAGGTGCCAGAAAGGGATTGAAGATTATAGTGTCATCTATGTAACAATAGCAAAACCAAGCACTCCAGTTCTGTTCAAAGTGGATTTCTATACTCATTTTTGTGTTCTGCTGCTGTCTCGTAGATGGCGCTAGTATCTTTCAGCTTCCTTTCTGGACACCGGGATATTGCGTATGGTTGCTATCGTCAGGTAGAATACGTTAATCAACATTATGACCTACTTTAACGCCTGAAGAGTGCACTAATGAATGTCCCAGGATATCAAAAAGGCAAACTCATCTTTATCTGCAAACATTACCTAGATAATGACCTCAGCAGTCATTAGAAGGTCGAATTTATAAATTTAAATAGCGACCACCATTTTTGACAGTAGTATAAATATACACTTTGAAGAACAATCCCGAGTCCTACACAGAAATCTGCTGTTAAAAATGGTGATTGCTATTTGAATAACAAGCTTGGCCTCTAAATTACCTCCGAGGACAATATCAATGTCATATTTGAGGTCAAAGATAAATTGCATGCCTGAGATCCTGAATTTGTTGTTGCACTATAGTAGGTCATACTGATCGGACTATTTATGACCACTTCACCTCATGTTTGAGCATGAACTTTTGTGTAGAATCTCACGCTCTGCTTAATCTACTTTCAAAATGGTGGCTGCTATTCGAATTTTCAGACCTGTTCTCTAGGTCATATTTGAGGTCATCGACAAATTGCTCTTTTGATATGCTTTTCTCTGAACAAAAAAAAAAAAATGCGTCGTCGCAGTGTATTCGAAATGTTTGTATATTTGATAGCGTACTTCAAAATGGCCAATCCTATTTATTTTTGAACGGCATCCTTATAACGTAACTACAAAATGACAGGGATAGCGACAGCCATAATTGTCACTATAGAACTGACTATTGTTTACTTCTTGTTCACTTGTAGTGGCTGTGTGTGATGCCTAAAGATGAAGGTTACCGTTATTGTAAAGTATGTTCTCCAGTAAAAGTTTTTCTCTATCGAAGATTGACGGACTTGACATTTGTTTGGCTCTATCGAACAAACATTTTATCACACCTTTCTGTACTAGTTGCGTGATTTGAATTGAAATTTAATATCTTTTGATATGTGGTTTTATATTTACTGATGTAACAAAGGAACCATTACATCCTTTTATATTCTCGACTTTGCTGGTTTTGCGCAGTGCCATCTTCAAATTGCAAACATCGCTTCGAGCAGTCTCTGTTTGTTACTGGACCGTTCAGACTGTTGTAGTAACACAGTGTATATGAATATAAAAATAATAAAAGGAACGACATTTCACCAAGAAGACAGAACATAAAATATACTGTCACAGAATTATCATCAATTGTACTTGAAAAAGATTACAGTGGTGGTCGAAACGTCGTGCAATCAACAGAAATCTGAACATTATGTAGTTTTGATTCGGACTGACAAAGGAGGCCTATGTATGTATACGTATAGTTGTCGTCACCGTTCTTGGCGCGTCAATGTAAGACTACCAGTAACCGTTTATATATCTCCATCTCCCTCATACATACACATGCAACCTACCCCTGTGTATGATCGTTTGTTCGGTAAGCTCAAAGACATACGTTTTTCAGTTGTATGTCTCCGTCTCGAAAACTTTGTCGTATTTGTCAGAGTGATAACTTACTTGACATCAGCGTGCAATTCGAGTTGTCCTATCTTCAATATAAAACTGTTCAATGCCCGGAAATACGATCAATGGGGAAGGCCGATAGCTCGTGCTGAATTTATTAGAGTATTTCCAGAAAGAGAATGAAAACAGTGGTCCCTGTTACCCACTTTATGCGTACTGGAGAGCGTAGCAGATGCACTGAAGATTAGTATGTGCAGTGTTTCGCCCATGGTACGAAGACTCGATCTGTTTACTTATTTCATATGGCGTTGATGACGTAACCGCCAAGAACGGTGACTACAACTATACATAAAAATCACAGAACAAATTTCAGGAGTTATATTAACTCTGTGTTGTGTTGTGTAGAACTTGCCTGCGAAGAGTTCATCAATATAATCCTGATAAGCATCAACAGCCTCTGACTCATCACTCTCCAGCGTTTCCTTGTCACTAGCATTGTTATTCCCTATAGCATCCTGGATGCTATTTACCAAGGGCTGCCCATGTCTAACGGGATGCCCTTTCTTGGGCAGGATCTCCCAAACGCTTGGCGGTCGCGAGAACCGATTCCTGCCGAACAGCTTCTTTTCCAGGTAGTTTTCCAGGATTTGCTTGGTGATCTGATTTTGTCTTTGGATTTCATGCAGATCCACAGGCAAACCTGGAACAGGAAAAAATGCTGTTCTCAGAAAGTATTCAGTTACAATAAGAAGAAGCTGGCCATCGAAGGGATTCGACTGCACGATCTCTCGTATTCTAGCCCAAGGTATTGTAGGGGAGCCCAAGGGTTTTTAAGAGTAGATCGCGGAAAGGAAAAAAAAGGTTATTTGATATATCCCCATCTAGTAGTGGGGGTCTACATGTCAAAAATGTGAAAAAACAGTACATAGAGATACTCGAGCTCGTCAGAAATGGATATTATATATAAGGATCCTATGCATGGGGATCTCAATACCTGTTTGAGATACAGCTTAGGATAAATTAGGAAAAACTTGCAATCTTTGGGGCGTATTTACCTGCCGTTGAGAAACTTGTAAAAAAAACTTTATTTTAAGGACTATCAAAAAACTAATTAAACTTTTCCATTGGCATTTTTTAGATACTTCATACATGATGGTGTTTTCTGTTCCCGATGGTTCGTTTTTGAGAAACCATCCTCAACTTTATCTTTTTAACTGGTCCTAAAAAAGTACACCCTGTATCTAATAGTGTTTTTCTATACGAATTCAATGATGTATCACATGATATTAGACGAAAGTACCCCTGGTTTGCGAAATAATTGTAAAGTATAGTATTATTGCTGCAAGTTGTTCAAGAGGGTATTTAAAATCTGGACGCATAAAATGGGTACACCAATTTTTGTGGGAAAACTTTTTATTCGACAACAAAGAATGAGAAAATCTGTTTTTTGGGATCCAATCGAAAGTGTTGTATTTATGGGACCTACAAAATGAGACCATCCGTAAAACGATCCGACTAATAGAAAAAAGTTATGGCCGAAAACCTAGGCAAGCTGCAGGTTTTTGAACTTGATAGTAATGCCATGATGGTTTTTCGCAGATACTTGGAATTTTCCAAATTCGTGGGATTCGTACTTCTTAATAACCATAACAAAAACACCTGTTTTCCGGCGATCACTACTAGTTTATTGAGCAATATACAAAGGGCATTTTATAGCTAAATACACTAGTTTACCTTGCCAATATGAATTGCAAACCATTCCAGAAGATAAATGTTATTTTTACGCAAAATGGGTCGGTTACATTTTTTCTTCTAAACAAATTCAAACATTTCGTATTTGTGAGAAATGATGGGTGGAAAACAGGTGTTTTGGGATAAACAATTAGAAATTCTCAAAAAGTTCGTGATCTATCTACTCCAATTTTGTTGTGGTTATTTAGAAGTACGAATCTTACGAATTTGAAGAACTTCAAGTATTTGCGAGAAACCATCGTTGCATTACCAAGTTCACCTGTAGTTTGCCTCGGTTTTGGGCCATACCTTTTTTCTATTAGTCGGATGTTTTTACGTGTGGTATCATTTTGTAGCTCTCATAAATACCTAAAAATCTTGCAGTAAAAGTTTTTTCGTTCCTGTGAACACTTTTGAATCCCAAAAAAAACACGTTTTCTCATTCTTTGTTGTCAAATAAATATTTTTCCCACAAAAATTGGTGTACCCATTTTATGAGTCCATGTTTCAAATATCCCCTTGGACAACTTGCAGCAATAAGACCAGACTTTACAATTATTTCGGTGAAATTTGCTAATTTGATTAGACTTTTGGTTATAAGGAAAAATTCGTTTTTTGTGCTTTTTTATTTTTTTTAGTAGGCGTTGCAAACAGATTCTTGACTTGACGTAAATAAATGTCACCGATTATTGTTATTATTGTATATTGTTAATATTGCTCTATTATCTTCAAAGATGCCAGGCGGTCACTTTATCAATGAAGAAAAGTTCGGCATGATGACGTGCTACATTTTGTGCTACAAAAATACTAAACATGTTGCAGAAATGTATCTTGATAAATTTCCCGAAAGAAGGCAGCCAGTCAGATTTCTTAGAGTTGGCTCGAAATTTAAATGAATATGGTTCATTCAAAAAGCCTGTTACATTTCGAAAAAATGACTCCTTAGATGGAACCCGGAATAGTATTTTACAGTTGCTGAGAACATCGAGATATAAACTAGACAAATTGTATAGAATGTAGGATTCGCTAAGTCCACAGTCCAATTCATTTTGCGTAAAAATAGATAATAATAATAATGTTTATTGGAGTATTCATACATAATAGAATCAAAATACGAGCAAATAATATAACACCAAAAAAAAATAATACTCCAAAGGGCTGGGGATTGGCATAGCCATTTTTCACCCCCGCCTGAATAGCTAAGGTAAATTCATTATGTGCATTACTATATCTTACTAGGGCATATTATATACATTACATAAAGAACATGTAGCTGACTATAATAATGCTAACAAAACTTTAAAATATAATAATATTAATAATGAGAATTATTCAACCACCTGTAGATTCATTAAGTTGTAACTGTACTAGCATTCTTTTGAATTATCTTTTGAAGCTGTGAATGGACGTCGATTTGAAGAAAATTTGGTAATCATGATTTGCTTAGACCAGGGGATAGCGAACACCGCCAACAGTTTTATGACTGGATTCTAGAAAATCTGCGGACTAAAAGTATCCAGACATCAAGAACGTGCTGGGCTTAATATGTAGTGTGAAGTTCTAGGGACCAAAATATTAGACATGATCTAGAAGACTGCCTAGATAACTTACCTTTAGCATGGGTTAATAGCTGTTGGTGTCGACAAGACGGTGCACCTGCACATAACTCTACGCAAGTTTGAGAGAATCTTTCGCAGCGATTTCTCAGAAGGTAGATTGGAATCTCCAGTGAAGTGTCCTGGCCAGCGCGTTCCACGGACTTAACTCATCTGGACTTTTTTGTTCGGGATCTTATTAAATATCAAGTATACTTTTGAAACTGATCAGCAGCTACGAAATGTGCAATGGAAGCATTTAATATGATTATACCGAAAATGTTACGTGATTTTTTGAATCCTACTGTTAGAAGATCATATTTTGATGTTTAGAAAACATATTTGAACACCTTTTGTGAATAAAATAAAAATAATGTTAAAACGTCGCTATTCTGAATATCATTAGATTAAGCATCATTTTATAAAAAATTACCCCATCACATAATTATGTAATATGCATCTATCAATCAAATAATCGTTTACTAGGCATTTGCATTTGCAGCGCCTACATAAACAAAATAAAAAATATAAAAACACATTTTTCTTCATAACTGGGAAAACAAATGTAACATGTGATACATCGTTGAATTAGTAGAAAATTATGCTTATCAGATACAGGGTGTACTATTTTCGGGCCATATAAAAAAATAAAGTTGATGATGGTCTCTCAAAAACGAAACGTCGGGCACATAATTTAAAAACACCAGCATGTGCACAGTATCAATGAAACATTTCTCAAAATAAGTTCAGAAAAAATAAAAACGATTTGGCCAAATTTTATTTTTTCTCGAATACTTCAGTTAGCCTTGACATCTTTAAGAAGTTTCTCAACGGCATGTAAATACGCCTCAAAGAAGCAGCTTTTTCCTAATCTAACCTAAGGTATTGAGATCCCCATGCATAGGATCCGTATATGTTCAACGATACCCACCACGTTGAAATACTCATAGTGGGACGTGTAGCGAACGACTGAGGGGTTCTAGTGGTTCTGTAGAATCTCATACCTCTGACAAGAAAGGTCGACAGGACAGTGCCGTCGAGATTTTCTGCCTGAGAGTGCCTTCTTCTGTGAAAAAAGTACCTTCCAGTCAGAACGATTCTATGGGATATGCTACCTATATAACAGAAATTTTATTCTATTATTACTGTACCATTAAAATTACTAGTAGAGCAGAGCAGACGCAAGACTCTACTAACAATGAGTTGTGATGCAGTTGGTATGTAAACACATTCCCATTGTTTTGCAATGAGAGCAGCACCTATCAATGTGTCCAGATACCCTTGGCCATATCCATTCAATACAGTTGATGATGAAACTGAACCTTTCATTTATATCGTTCAGAGACGCGGAAAATTAAGGCGGCAGGCAACAGGGTATTTTTTTCAATACTGCTAAGAAATATTATTGAAAGAAGAGAATTGCTTATTCTTGAACAGGACATCAACCTTCCAAGGAAGGATTTACCTCAACCTCCCTCGTAATTATTCTCAAGTTTTCTTATTCTCAGAACTTCGAAACGACGGAAAAAGAAACCCCACAATCTGCGTCAACAGTACGGGAGGTGAGGACGCATACACCAAAAGACGGTTTTCCACAGGTGCATAGTTGTAAGCTTAAGCGATCAGCAAATTCTTCTCTTTTGGGGTAGTTCTACGCATTCTGAATTAATAAGATATTGATCAAAAAATGTCGTCAAATTTGTGCTTCACATACAATTCTGCAACCAATAGGATATGATCTGTCAAAAGAAATCGATCAAAGCAATTGCATGTGAAATATAGAGTTGACCTGTTTGACACAAAGCTTATCAAAATATTCTGATGAAATCGAAACCTGTCTAGGTATAATCTAACTAATTTCGATATGAATTGTTGCACAATAAAGACGTTTATTAATATTATATCGTAAACATCTACAGTTTTATATCTTAAACTATAAAATACTCGTATAAATCTCTGTTTACAAATATATGAACTATATATACTGAGTGACAAAAAAAGGAAATCACGTATGTGTATGTGTATAAGAATTCAAGATTTTTTTACATATCGATTTATCTTGCCATGAACAACAAGTGATAAAATTGTCAGGTTTTTCTGTTAAGTTTTTGTGGTGGCTGCGTGTATTGTGTGGTGATAAAGAACCATTGAGAAGCCTTTCTGTGATTGCTCAAAATGCCTAGAGTGCATAGAATTCGCCGGGTGTCCCAGCTAAGTGACTTTGAGAGGGGTCGAATTGTCGGGTTGTGTAAAGCCAGTCTATCGATAAGAGGAGGACCAACAGATCCTTACGCAGTGTGAACGAGCGTGGACCCAGGAAGGCCGAGGACAGGGAGCGAGGGGTTCTGGATGTTTCAGAATGACCACCGAGCCACAAGACCGCCGGTTGAGATTTCTGGCTCTGAGACACTAATTTTCATCAGAGGCAATATGACAGCCCGACGATAGATTCTTATTCCATATCTAAACACCATCCAAAACCCGGTTTTTCAGCAAGACAATGCCAGACCGCATGTTGCCAGAGCGTCGTTGGATGGATGGATCAACATCGCATCAACCGTTTACCTTCACGAAAACGATCGCCTGACCTATCTCCAATTGTCTGGGACATGATAGGTCTCAGGCTCTTGCAACACCCTCCACAGACTTCAGCATCACTTACGAAGTTGCAGTAGCCTGGAATGAGATACCCCAACAGGGTATCGACCACCTTACCAGCAGTATGCTCAGGCGTGTCAATGAGTGTATAAGAAATCGTGGATCCTCAACCCATTATTGAACCAGCTTCTACAGTCAGTTGACGAATCAAGCTGAAAAAATCATTTTACTAGTAAGAGACACTGAACATATATGCCAAAAATTATTAATATCGGATAAACATACGTGTTTACCTTTTTTGTCACTCTGTATAATGTGAATATTGTATGTTTTGCATTAGGGGTAATATTTCTGGGATTAGACATTTCTTAATAGGAGAAAGTCTTTGTTTGTTTCCATACAAGTAATGTAGCCCCCATTGATATTCTAGGACGCAAAAGCGTAAAATTATGCACCAGAATTCCCTCCAACTCGTGGTAAAATACACGCCGTACGCCTATGGCCTGCGTCGAGGCAAAAACGTGCAAGGACATTCCCCGCCCAGGTGGGCTCGGCACTTGAGACGTGGAGCGCAATTGGCATGATTTGAACTTAGCAGCACGAGAATTTGTCTGATAAATTTCATTGATACTAAAGATGCAACAGTAACAACTTCCCACGATGGATACGCATTTGTCAACTTTCGTACGTCCCAGTATCTTTACTACTATCCTATGGCTATGGAAACTCTCACAGCTGGTGATGCTTTAGAATGAATATAATTGAATTACATTTTTTTTAATAACCGCCATGATGCGTAACACCTGGACAACTTTTGTATGCCTTGGTATCATTGCATCGTCGCGTGCCGTCGACGATCTTGATCACATCAGCGTTGCTGCATTAGGATCGGACCCTCCGCAGGTAAAATACATCGAGTGTTCCTGGGTAGCTGGTATTGCTGGAGTCATAGATGTAAGTATTATGCGAAATATGTGTAATATTGAGTCTAACAGGTGGGTAATACTACCGGGATTACAAATTTCTGAAAAATAAAACGTCCTTCACTAAAACCAAAGATGCAACATTTACCGACACCTACTTCCGACACCCTTAAACTGCGTTTTCAACACTTTTAGAGGAAAGAAACCAGGAAATTCTGAAACGCCCAGAAACAAGGTTTGAGCGATATTTTTGTTTTTTTATCGTAGGTAGCTGCACCGTCACTGGTCCATTTTTCACCACTACAAAGTCGTCTGTCCGCTAATCTTTAGCCCGTCTATAACTTGGAAAGTACCGGTCGGATTTTGATCAAATTTTCACACAAGGTTACTGCTATGCCAGGGACGAAAAAGCGTAGTTTTCGAAAATCGTTCAGTGGCGGCGAAAAAAGGCCAAAAACCAAAAAAACTTTGTTTTTTGACCTTCCAGATAATCATTTTGAAAAAGATGTGCGGTGGTGGGTTATAGGGGTGGGGGAGGGTGCATCGCAATTTTTAGATGTTACTATACTAATGTACTTACAACCCCGATAATTCTACGAATCTATTATTAACCCTTCAAACTTAAAACGGAAGAAAAATGTTTTCGACAGCGTCCCTGCGGCTGCTGACTAACGGTCATGACCGGCGTGTTGATGCCCGTATCTGTCCTATATCACTGGCGCTCTTTTTCCTGTGACGCATCATGCTTTCAGATATTGGCGAGGGGCGACGTGACGCGACCATACTACGGATAGGACAGGGAAATAATGTTATGGACTAATTGCATGAACCTCTTGACCGGAACTGGTCTGTTTAATTTCTCTATAATACATGTTGTTTTTCTTAGAAGGTATAACCTAGACATGCTGCTTTCGTCCGTCCAACCAAAGACAGCCAACCTCAGACACCTGTTCCGTGCTTGTTTGGAAACTCATTAGCATTGCCTAGGCTTAGTCTCTGGGAGAGCGAACGAAAGCATAGCAACTATCCTTTCTTCGGGATATAAGGCATATGGCGCCGTCTTATTTCGATAGCGTCTAACTTGAATGAACTGATGACAGCGAAGTGCAGAGTCAACCTACTTGATGCCACTTTTTATACCGAACCAGCCGCGGCAGAAGCCTAAATACCAGGGCACCGTGGGTGCTATGAGGAGCTTAAATAAACTGTTAATCCGAACTTCCTAAGGCTTGTAGAACTGGGAAAATCCTACCCAGGTAGATTGTTTTACAATCTCGATACCCTAGGGACAAGGGAGCAGTCTTTTCGGCCAGTTCTGGATGTACGAAGTTCGACACCGTGAGGATGGAAGATCGAAGGCAGACGGGTCTGTGTGACAGGCACACCGCGCGGCGGCATTATGGAGGAGAATTACAACACTTTCTCTCCAGTTAGCATAGGAAACTAAAAGCTACATGCGTCCAGACTCCTAGTAAACTAACGGGTCATTTTTAAGAGCCTTCTTTTCAAAAGTTGAACAGCTAAAGATGCATTATGTTTACAAGATCTTTTTTGAAGATTACTTTCATGCAAATGTTGACCACGGCAACGTTTCAAATAGTCCATACGGAAGGTACAATTTTTCACTACTTTTTCCAGCATTTTGGCCTGAATTCCACCAATAATATGTGTTATGTTGTCTTGTAAGTCCTGAACAGTGTTGGTCTTGTCCATATACACAAAAATTTTCACGTAGGCCCCACAAAAAATAATCCAGAGGCGTCAAGTCGCATGATCTTGATGGCCAATTTACAGAGCCAAAACGAGAGATAAATTGCCCATTCCTTAAAATGTCCATTGTTTCACGTGTGTGTGCATGTGGCGGCGCCTTGTTGAAACCACACGTCAACCAAGTTTAGATCTTCCAATTTGGGCAAGAAAAAGTTACGGATCATATCGCCGTTGACGGTAACGTTTAGTCCGAAGTCGGCAGCAAAGAAAAACGGCCCGATAATTTTACGAGCCCATAAGCAACACCAAACTGGATGCATGGGCAATTCTTGTATAGCATGTGGCTGCTAATCATACCAGATGCGGCCATTATGCTTGTTAACATATCCGTTTAGCCAAAAGTGAGCTAGTTGCACGGCCCATTCAGTAAAAATTCGACGATTGTGGTAGGTCATTTGGCTTCAAATGTTGCACAAGTTGAGTTTTGTAAGCCTTCAAACCCAAATCGACACGTAAAATTTTTCAGGTTGTGGAGTAACATATTCCCAAATGTTGAGATCTGCGGCTTATGGATATTTCACGATCTTCATTAACACTGGTTGCTACGGATGCAATATTCTCTTTGGTACACACTGTACGCATGCGAGTCGGTGGTTTAAGTCCAAAAAAGAAAATCTGGTACGAAATTTGGTAATAACACCTCTAATTGTGTTTCACTAGGTCGATTATGTCGACCATAAAATGACCGTAACAGGCGAAACACATTTTTCACAGAGCACGAATTTTGGTAATAAATGTCTACGATTTGCATTCGTTGTTCGTTTGTAAGTCTTTCCACGATGAAATGGCATAATATACTGAACAATTTTGACATTGACAGATTACGATTGTACGCCATTACATATCAGTGCAGCCAACAACGAAGGTAGTAAAAAATCATCCATTACAACAACAACAAAGTAAACTACGCCATACGCTTTGTATGAATCGGTTGTAGCCAAAGCTTCCTGCACTATATATAGCCAATCCAAATCACTGAATAGAAATCTAAGTACGCTGATCGAACCTATTTATTACCTCTACATTGCAGGTACGTAAAGTACCGTTTTTGCCTTTCTAACACTGCTAATGCTCTAATAGCGATCTTCGAGTACTATAAATCAGTAGTCGAGGGTGCTAATTAGGAGTTTTTTGACGTTTTTGTGCAACTGAGGTCGAGCTAACATTTACAGTAGGCATGAATTTGATTAATGTTCATGATGGATGACATTAAGTTAAAATTACCGTGGGAAGATTGAAGATACAAATTATTTGTTGAAATTGTACAATAA